CTTTGAGCCAGATCCAGACCCTGATATTATGTCATTTGGCCCACAGGTCCAAAAAACTGGTGGCAGGGGAGTAGTGGTCAGAGTAAATGAGCTAAACAAAGCATTCAGAGGAAATTACCGTAAGTGATTCATCAGTTTATTCTGAAACAAATAATCATTCAGTCTTGGAGCTGAAAATATTGAGAACAAAAAAAAAGTAAAAGCATCAGAATTCAATGTACATTTTTACATAGTAATGTTATTTATGGCATTTATTTCTGCAGCAGAAATGAAGGAAACAACATAAGCTTTTGAAGAAGCAAAGGCTGTAAAGCTAACTACAAAGAAAGAGTTGTATAAATAGAGATTCATTTATTTCTGCTTAAATTTCTAAATTACTTCTATAATGGAAGGTAAGAATGATAATATCTATCCTGCCAAATCCTATCATGCCATACTCATTAGAAAGTTAAGACCTCTTTACTTCTGTTGTTAGTTATCTGACACACAAAATAATGCCACTACTACGTAATGCCCAACTATTCTGGGTGTACCACACACACACACACGCAGTCCTGGCATCAAATTTTCCTCGGTGAATAATAATAAACAAATATTCGCTTGGGGAGAGAAGGAAAATAAACATGTTTGTGACATTGTTTAATGCACTAATGAAAAATGCAGATACTACACTGCAAGAATCTATATAGGACAGAACAGAAAGATCTAAAACATAACTGTAGAAGGACTTGCCATATTTCTTTACAAGTTGTAAACTTAATAAAAATGCCTAAGGTAAAAACAGGGCAAACCTATGTAGGGGGGCAACTGAACATGTTTAATAAATGAACAAAGAAAAGATTAAGTGATGAACCTTGTAAAATAAATGTACAGATGCAAAATTAGTAGGTAAGATATCAATAGGAAATGAAATAGGAGTGCAGGAAGAAAGAAGCCAAAGGAGTGAAGTGATTAATGATTACAGAGAGCTACTGTAATTAAAAAAAAAAGCCTCTTGAATTGGAATGTGGACTAGTCTTTAAAAATACTGATCTGTCATAATTTACATATGTATGCCATAATTAGCTCAGCAATGGAATGTATGAAGTACATTAGGCAGCAAGCAGGAACTTAATTATTGTGTCTAATGTCTATTATAAGATCTGCTTTTTCTAATTCATTTGATAATTTGTATTTAAGTATTTTTAATAATTTTCTCTCCTTAGGGATCTGTGATGAGATGAGGTAAAAGTGAGGCGGGGGACTGTGGATGAGTTGTATTTACCTTTTGCAAATTTGATTATAAAAAGATGGATGGATACTGAAATTGGTATAATTGTATCATGTAATTCTACTCTTGTTCAGTAAGTAAATTAGTTTTATTAATGCAGATGCATGCGCCTTAAACATAATTAAATAAAAAGGAGAAAAATTACTGTTCCTATGGTATGCAGTGACTTTATTATATATAACTCAGCTTGATAGAAACCTGTGATTATAACTGAAATAGAGGCTGACTATTTGATGAAGAAAACACTCAGGTTCTCCATAGTAATAATAATGATATAGATTTTCATTTAGTTTGAAATATATCTCGATTTATTTAGCATTTGAATTTTGTTTTCAAAATCACACAGGCAATTCCAAACGAATGGGCTGCTCTCAGACACTGCTGATTTTACTCAAACTGGGTGCGTCTGCATGAGACACTACTGTACAATGGTTACTGCACATTTATTTAGTACTTGTATAAGCAAAAATGAGAGAGAGCTAGCCAGCAAAAAAAGAAGACCAAACGTGGGACAGAATGTAACTACCCTTTTAACCATGCGTGTGGTGTGTTGTATTATGTGTACACACACAGAGTTCTGCCCAAAACGAAAACTAAATTTGTATTTATGGTGAGTTGTATTTAAATGTGTGCATGTACAGGTATGTATGGACTAGTGAATTGCCCATCAAGAATGATTGGTGAGGGGGCAGGCAGGGACAGAGCGCTGCCACCCACCACCTTGCACTGCCACTACCTCCCGAGGGGGGGTGGGGAATTGCACACAGCGGCCACTGCTGCTACCCACCACCCCGCACTACCGCCACTCCACATCCTGTTGTGCACCACCCCCTCCCTGCCACTCCGCATCTGGCTTTGCTCCACATCCCCGCCACTCCATACCACCAGATCCGGAGTGGCAGTAGTGTGGGGTGGTGGGTGGCGGTGGTGGCCACTGCATGCCGGCTTCCCGGCCATTCCTGGCAGGCAGCAGCATGGGGTGGTGGGTGGCTGCCTACCCCAGCCATCCATCTTGATGGGCATTCTTGACACAGCACTGGCTGGAGCCACACACCCCAAGAGCATTAGAGACACACAGACAGACAGACTAAGCCCTTTATATATAGATATAGAAGAGACAGTGAGTTATAAATGTTGTATCGCACCACATATCCATATATGCATGTGTGTGCCTGCACACACACAGTATTTGTCTTTTTTGGTACTCTGGCTGTGGTAATCAGTCTTTTAATAACTTGTCTTTGCTGTGGTCTGAGCAGGTGGTCTTGGGCTGGACTGCAAAACAAAGACCTGCTTCCACAGCTGCTTCACTGTACATTTTCTTTTAGAATATCTGTATACGTAACGGTGCATTTCTTGGTCTAATTGCACACTTTAAAAAGTATGTCAGAAATCAACACATGAATTAAAAAAACAACTCTAGAACGTAAAACTGTAGCAAATTAAAGCAAAATAAAATCAATTCCCATTTTAGTCAGTGGCAGAAACTTTCCAGTGCTTGAACAATCATCTGCCTTCGTTTTGCACTCACCCGGCCCTTCGTATATCCGCAGTACTAAAAGGAAGAAAACGGCTGATCACTGGTGGTATTTAAATTGGGAAACCCATGATATTTGGGTTTTGTTTCCGGGAGGGGGGGAAATACTAGAATAAATGAGGCTCGAGTGGGGTACTCTATACACATTACATACTACTTCACGTAGCAGGTGTGGAGTACTATTTATGTTTTAAAAATCATAATACTTCATTGTACTCAAGAGGGGGCTGTTCCCCCGCACTGCCACGCAGCGCCCCCGCCGGCCCACACGTGGGCGCTCTTGCAGCTACACCCCCGCCACGCCTGCAGGGGGTGCTACCTCCCCAGGTCCCCCCGTCTGTTGGATACGGACGGAGCCGACCCGGAAGTGGCGCTCTTGCCGTCGCGGCCAGTCGTCTCCGCGTTCCTTTGTCCGCCGGGCGCGCCGGTTGCTAGGCGGAGCGCGGCGGCGGTTGGGTTTCAAACGCTGGAGGCGGTAACGGGCGCGGGCCGCCGGCCCCGGGGCTGCGGGGGAGGCAGGCAGCCGCGAGCCGCCATGGGGCTCCGCTCCGACCAGCTCCTCGTCGTCGTCTCCATCCTGGAAGGTAACGCGCCGGATCCTCCCCGCTTGAAACCGGGATTTTGGTCATTGTCTGATTTCTCTGGGAAGGAGCCGCTCTCTGTTCGCAAGGAAAGGGCTGGGAATATTTTTTTAAAAATGCGTTGAGTTTGGTCACGACTGAGGGAAGCTTCTCTCTCAACCCTGTGTTTCAGTGGCAGAGTTATCTTGCAATTAAATACAGTTAAAAGGGGGAGCTGGAAAGAGGGAGAGTATAAATAAATATTTTTCTCTGTATTAGCAAGCATGAAAAGCAAAGTTCAGTGCACTGACAAGGAAAAAGCACTCTTACAACAAAGACAACAGGGGTTTCATAGTAGCTAGGGACAGGAGGGACCTGAACAGATGATTTAGCCTGACCCCCTGCCACAGGCAGGAATGAATGCTGGGTTCACAAGACCCCAGACAGATGATCATCCAACTTCCTCTTGAATTTGCCCAAGGTAGGGGCAAGGACCACCTCCCTGGGAAGTTGGTTCCAAATTTTGGCCGCCCTAACTGTAAAACATTGCCTTCTGATCTCTAACCTAAACATATTCTCTATCAGCTTATTACCATTGTTCCTTGTCACCCCAAGTGGTGCTGGGGAGAAAAGGGCACTACCTATTTGCTGCTGATCTCCCCTGATGAGTTTGTAGGCAGCCACCAGGTCCCCCCTCAGCCTCCTCTTGCTAAGACTGAACAGGTTCAGGTCCCTCAGTCTCTCCTCATAGGGCCTGTCGTGCTGCCCTCTCACCAAGCAGGTGGCCCTCCTTTGAACTCTCCAGGCTGGCCACATCCCTTTTGAAGTGCAGTGCCCAGTACTGGATGCAGTACTCCAACTGTGGCCTGACCAGTGTTGCATAGAGGGGGAGAATCACCTCTCTGGACCGGCTTGAAATGCACCTTTGGATGCATGACAAGGTATGGCTGGCCTTGCTGGCTGAGGTCTGGCATTGGCAGCTCATGTTCATCTTGGAGTCAATAATGACTTCAAGATCCCTTTCCTCTTCTGTGTTTTCAGGAAGGGAACTCCCTAGCCTGTATGTATGCTGTGGATTCCTTCTCCCAAGGTGCAGCACCCTGCATTTGTCTACATTGAACCCCATCCTATTCTCATCTGCCCACTTTTGTAGTCTGTCAAAATCTGTTTGCAGCCTCGCTGTCCGTTCAAGTGTGTCCACATCGCCCCACATCTTAGTGGACAGCATGCTTTTCACCCCCTCGGGTCTTTGGGCAGATGTGATATCTTTTATTAGAACAACTAAATAGTTGGGGAAATTGTTCTTTGCTACCTTTCAGTGCAAATGCCCTTCCTCAGGCAGAGGGAGAATCTGCTGTTGTTTTGTGTTTATCAGTTGAAAGCTATTACCATGTTGTGGAATCCTGGCCCTATACGTATAGGCAGAGGGAGAAAATATTATTTGGGGGAGTGGAATGCATGTGCACATGCACACATCCCACCCTTGCAGGTAAGTCTGTCCTGGGGAAGGGGGCAGATTGAGGCCTCCGTGGTGAGGGAGGGTGTGGGGCTGGTGCTGGGGTGAATGGGGCCCGGGGCGGGTTGTGGGAGGCTCAGAGCCCAGGAGACTCATTGGGGGGGGCGGGGTCTCCTGCTGCTGTGTGCACCCTGGAACATGCCACCCCTTGCCTTCCCTCGGATGCACGCAGTGGCTGTAGCCCCCGCCCACCTGGACAAGCTGCCTGGGCTCTGAGCATCCCATGACTCAGCCCGAGGCCCTGTTCACCTCAGCCTCTGTTCCTGCCTCTGCCAACTTCCTCCTGCATTGTGGGGGCCTCGATCTGGCCCCCCTCACGCCCCTTCACAGAGTACATGGACACTTGCCTGTCTGCCATGCTGGGCAGTAATCCACGCACCAGGGCTGCAATGTTGGCTGGCTGTGATCCCAGCTGTGCCTGAGTGTACATGCCCATATTCCCCCCCTCACTTCCCTCACTTGCACCTGCTGCAGCCCGGGGTCTGCAGCCCTAACTGTTGCCCTGTGTTTGTGGGGGCTAAGCCTTGTTAGCCCCAGCCTTCTGTCACCTATGCCTATACGTACATTTTATATTAACTACCACAGTGCATATAAATATAAGAACGCTAAGGCTAAATACATTGTGATGCTACTTGTTGTTGCTAATTGTTCTTTGCAAGCTTTTGGGCACAGATACCCGTCTTCAGGCAGAGGGAGAGTCTGCTGGTGTTTGTGCAGTCTCGACTGGAAGCCAAGGTGCAAAATTCAGGTCTGTAAAAATGCAAATGCAAGGCAGTGAGGATCAGAGGCCATGGGAGACAGGCACGTGGGAGAGGGAAGAAGGGGATGCAGACCTGGTGAGAGAATGTAGCTGGTAATATGCAGACAGGTTACATGGGTTTATCAAATATCAGGCAGGTTATGATGCACCATAAATCCAGTATCTATATTTAGTCCATGATTGTTTGTATCTAGTAGATTAATCACATTTACCTGAAGAATTTTGTCTGCTTGTGTCCTTAGACCAACATGGCTACAACCAACACTTCCTTCAGCCTCATGCCTTGTGAAAGAACTATAGAGAGTATAGCTAGAATGTTTATTTTCACTGGCATGCCGAAAATGTATCAAAGACAAAAATACCCAATTACCTGTGGGTGCACTCCTCTCACAAGACAAACACTCTCCGATCTCTCAATTCTAACCCTCAAAAGGAATGTACAAAACAGTTTTCGTAGATGAGCCTATGAACTTCCCTTCATAAATCTAGTTGATACAAAAACTCATGGACTAAATATAGATGTTGAATTTATAGCACATTATAACCTGCCTGCCATCTAGTAACCCCAGGTAACTTGTCTGTGTTTTACCAGCTACGTTCTCTCACCAGGTCAGCATTCCCTCTTTCCCCCCTCACCCACCTGTCTCTTATCTATTGTCTTCC